GGGGGGGCAGAAGAGGGACACGGTGGGGGAACCAACTCTCACCACAGGCAGCCGCCTCCAGGAGCTGAGGGCCCAGGTCTGGGTCAGAGCCCGAGAGCACGCGGAGGCAGGGAGCGGGCGGAGGCCGGTCCTCGGAGGCTGGCCGTGCCCCCCGCCCCTCGGGCCCGTCCTCCGGGCTCTCCGGCGCTTGCTTCTCCCCCGTGCCCGCCTCCTCCTTTCCACTTTCCTCTGCCTTCTGCTCTTTTCTCTTGTCTTCCTCTTCCGTGCCCTCCTCTCCATACTCTTTTTCTTGGTTTCTCCCGTCGCCCTCCCCTGTGCAGAAAGATGCAGGGGAGCCCTTCTCAGAGGAGGAATTAGCCTGCTCGGGGCACCACTCACCCAAGGGCTCCATTTCATGAGGGGAGTCACTTAAGCTCTTTGTGACTCAGTTTCCTTATCTGCAAAATGGGGTTGGTATCAGGGAGACCCTCAGAGGGTTACTGTGAAGAGGACATGAAATCACACATAGAAAGCACTCAGCTGCTTACTGACCTCGTAAGCAGTCAATAAATGTTAACTGTCGTCATTGTTACTCTAAAATCCCAGGGAGGGCTTCTGGTGAGCGGGAAACAGCTCCATTTCCGCCTCTCTCTGTGTAGAAGAGTCAGTGCATGACCCTTTTTGCTGAAGCTAATCTGTCACTAACAACTAAAAGAGTCATCACTGATACAGAAATCAGAGCTTGTAAGTGAAAGGCCACCAACGGTGGAATTAGCCAAGTCCTGCGCAATGTGGTGGCCAGAGACGTTTGGCTGACCAACAGGCATCCCAACCCCTTCTCCTTTGCCTCATCTACCACAGGAGCCGGAAAAGAGAAATACTTATTATTTTTTAAGTATTAAAGAATTTAAGAATTTTTATAAGTATTAAGCATTTAACAAGTGAGCAAGTGGAGGTTGCTGGGTCTACAGTTTGGTACATTCATTTCCTATTGCTTAACAAATTACCCCAAACTTAGCAGCTTAAAACAAAACCTGTGCCCTGGCCGGTGTGGCTCAGTTGGTTGGAGCGTCATCCTGTGCACAGAAAGGTTGTGGGTTCAATTTCCAGTCAGGGTACTTGCCTGGGTTTTGGGTTTGACCCCTGGTTGGAGTGCATNGGGTTCAATTTCCAGTCAGGGTACTTGCCTGGGTTTTGGGTTTGATCCCTGGTTGGAGTGCATACAGGAGGCAACCAATTGATATTTCTATCTCACATCGATATTTCTCTCTCTTTCTCTAAAAAAAACAAACACACAGAAAACAACACCTGTTTATTATCTTAGTTCTGTAGGTTAGAGAAGCCCAGCACAACGTGGCTGGATGCTGTGCTCAGGGTTACACTGGGCTAAAATCAAGCCATTAACTGGAGTTCTCATCTGGGACTTGGGGCCTCTTCCAGGCTTATGGTTTCCTTCCCACTCTTTCCCTGTAGCCCACTCCACCTTCAAGCCAGCAATGGTTTCAAATTTTTTGGACTTTCTCTTCTTTCCTCCTTTATTCTTTGAAGGGCACAGGTGACTACATGGGGCTTACCCAGATAATCCAGGATAATATCTCTATCTTAAGATCAATTGATTAGTCACCTTAATTACATCTTCAAAGTCTCTCTTGCCACATAACAGAACACAATTATAGGAGTTTGCACTGGAGGACAGAGGTCATGGGAGCCAACATTCTGCCTCCACATTTGACTGTTCAGACTTCTGGAAGACTTCTTGTTTTCCCGACAAAAGGGACAGAAACAGTTTTCAGCAATTCTGACATGAAGCTTGGAGGGATAGTGGCCAATTCGATAAGAAATTACCACAAATACAGTGGCTTAAAACCACAGAAACTTATTCTCTCATAGTTCTGGGGGCCAGAAGTCCAAAATCAAGGCATCAGCAAGACTGCCTTTCCTCTGAAGGTTTTAAGGGAGACTCCTTCCTTGCTTCCTCCAGCTTCTGGCGGTGTCAAGAGTTCCTCGGCTTGTGACTACGTAACTCCACTATCTGTCTCCATCCTCACATGGCCTTCCCTCTGTGTACCTATGCCTTCTCTTCTCTCTCTTATAAGGACACTTATTACATTTATGGCCAACTCAATCTAGGGTGATCTCAATTCAAGGTCCTTAATTATATCTGCAAAAACTCTTTTTTCCAAATAAGCTCACATTCATAGGGTCCAGGGGTTCCATTCATATCTCTTGGGAGGTCCACCATTCAACCCANTCTGCAAAAACTCTTTTTTCCAAATAAGCTCACATTCATAGGGTCCAGGGTTCCATTCATATCTCTTGGGGGGTCCACCATTCAACCCTNCATATCTCTTGGGAGGTCCACCATTCAACCCACTATAATGTGATAAGCCAACATGCTAAAGATCGTAGAGCAAGAGATGGAAGAATCTGGGTGCTTGGAGGCAACACTGAAGCCCTGTACTTATCTCAATACTTTTTATAATGTGAGATAAGGAAATCCCTATTTGTATAAACCATGGTAAGCTGGGTTTTATTACAGGTAGTGATAACATTCCTACCTGATACAGCAAGATGGAGGTTGGAGGAGCAATGAGAGTTTTTCTTTCTATATGGTAGGTAAGAAGCAGGCTTATCTCATGGGACTTAGACCATGTGCTCACTGAACTTTAGTGGATTTAGAAGATATTGGAGTGGGCTGGCTACTTCTCTGCTTAGATGAGAGAAACTTTAAGGAAATTCCTTTCTGCTCATATCAAGCAATTTCAGACCATAAATGATAAGATAGTCATGCCCCTTGCTGATTTGTAAAAAATGATTCTCTACTTCATGTTGCATAGAGTAAGAAATTATGGGCTACTTAGGAAAACCTGATTCTCCAGGTCCATTCCAAGCACTTCTCTCTATACACTTCCTGCTTGACAAAGATAATAGTCTCCCTCTCCACCTTTGATTTGGATACAGCCCAAAGTAATAGGGGCTACAGTCCATGGCCAATCAGCCTCAGCTCACTACTCAGACTATTTTCTTACTTACAGCTCTGAGATGAAGGCTGAGATTTAGATGGATGACAGTCACACCAAGGCTTAGTGGAACTGGTGGAGATACCAGAACCAATGGTAAGAGACAGAAGCCAGAAGGCATGGTTTAAATTCAAGAAGGAGAATGTACCAAGAATTCTGGCACTGGTTAATAGCTAACGAGTCCTTACAAATGAAATCTGCAGGGAAAAGATGAGAGATTTAATGGGGTGAAGCAGAAAATCCCCTGTCTGGTAACAAGTAATCTGTCTCTGCTTAATTTTAAGGCAAATCCTAAACCCTCTTGCAGATTACAATGGGAAATAAACATTTAAGGCAGAACAGCTACAAACAAGAGACTCTTGCCCAACTTTCCTGTTGTAGATAGCCCTGGGAGCAATGGGCAAAGAAAATTATACTATTTATCAGAACCCAGGGTGGCTGAACTAGCTGTCCAAGAATTCCATAGCCAGTGAATAATGCTAATCATTTGCCTTACTGTCTATCTGACATACAGTACATGCTAGAGACAAGAAACAAGTGTTTCTTACCCTTTCCCACTTTCTAAGCAGGAAGTTTATCGTATTTATCTTGATTCCATTTTGCTTCACTTTGCGTATCAAGTGCATTGGTGCAGTGAGATGGCATGTAATCTACCACAGGTTACAGAAGCACAGAGAACCACATCAAGATCTAATCAAGAGCAATGGACACCATTCAGAGTTCCTGGACTCAGAATTGTATTCAACAGGGTGTCTCTTAGGGGGCGAATTCATTTATAGTTACCGATACGATAGTTCTAAGCAGGCATTGTAACGGCGCATGGGCACAGTGTAAAGTAGTGCGGAGCCGAGGGATGGACTGTAACGATGGTGGCAATAATCTATTAGAGGTAATAATGACTAACATTTTGGAGAACTTAGTTTATATTAGGCACTGTGTGAACCTCTTTTATGTGAATTACCGTATTTACTACTCACAACACTGTATGAGATGGGTACAACTAAGATCCTCATTTTATTGGCAACTAAACAGACTTAGAGGGATTAAGTATCTTGCCTTGGGTGAACAGCTAGCAAGGGACAGACATTTGACCCAGATAGTCTGATTATAGAACCCATGTGACAGACCCCTTTATTATACACTTTCCATTGAAGATGTCTGCTATTCTCACCCCTAACCCCTTCCTCTGGGAAATAAACATTCTCCCTTCCTTCCGCTAGGAAATGTTCTTTCTCACATTCCACCCAGATGGGTCTCTGATCCAAGCAGAACCAATAGAAGTGTCTCCCCAGAATTCCTGACATAGGACAAATTTGGGTTAAAAAGCTCTGAGCGCTGAGCAGTAGTGCTGAGCAGACCAGGGAAGTGGAAGGTCATGGACTGGTCGGTCACATTGATTCCGAATCATTGCAGTATGGGCCAAAAGATGTAAATGCGACGTAATTTAATAGGCTGGTGAAATGTGGGACTCCCTGGCCACAATAATTTAATGTCTTCATTATGAAAGGGAAGATCACTATGGCTACAGGGCTGGGCAGTTCAGACACCCGAGAAGCATTGTGATTATTACCCCTGGCTTTACCTCTGCCCTTGGTGGGAGCTGGGGACAAACATCTAGTATGTTCCAGAGGCAGCGGGTTCAGCCAGATGAGGGCCTGCTTGCTCGGGTCAAGCACCAGAGGCCAACGGCAACTGTAGTAGTGGGTGTGACTTCGCAGAAGCAGGCCTGCCAGGCGAGCTGACTTTGCCTGGGGCTTCAGGTCTGTGTCCCACTGGAACTGTTCGGATTCGGAGCTCAGTAAGGCCAGAAGGCTAAAGGGAGTGCGTGTGGAGAGCAGGGGCCTTTTTGGTGGTGTGATGACAGATTTCTGATTCTTCTTCAGGGCCTGTGCCACATCGTCTGGGCCCAGGGTCTCCTGAAAGCCTCTACACAGAGCCAGCCACTTGGCCAGTAGCTCCTGGCGCCGCAGGGGTGGGAAGGGACCCAGGTAAGTGATGGCAGCTGAACACAGGAGGGCATCTCCAAACACAGTCATGCACTGCCTCTTCAGTTTCTGGTGTGGAAGGGAAGACCAGAGGGTGTGTAGGCCAGGGAGGAGGGCAGAGGCAGAGAGTCTGGCAGAGAGGGAGCCAGGCAGGGTATGAAGGAAAGCGTGGCAGGAGGTAGGATGAGACAGGGGGAAGCCGTGAGGGCACTGGGAGGAGCAGGGAAGCGCGGGCAGTGGTGCCGAAATGAACTTAGGGGGGACATCTGGGAGGGGCTGGTTACCTGGAGCTCTGTAGTCCAGGAATGCTTGGGCATGAGCAACGCAGACTTTATGGGCCACTTGTGATACTGGCTACTCTGAGCCCAGCTGAAATTCTCTACCACTTGGCTGTGGGAAGCCTGGGCATCTTCCAGCTTCTCAGTCAGGGCCAAACTGTGCTCTAGGAGCCTCTGCGCCTGGAACTGGTAGTGGGCCAGGTGGGCCTGCTCCCGAGCCAGTGTTGCCTCGACCTGCCGCAGCAGCAGGCCGGTGGGCAGTACTCGGTGCTGTGCCAGCCTGTAGTGCAGAACGGCCCAGAGCCAGGCTGCCAGGCTTGCTGCAGGTGTGCTTACTGCCCGCAAGGCTGCATCTCTCATACCTGGAGCGTTCAGAGCTAGGCTTAACTTTATTACCTCCGAGTCCGTCATCTTCTCCTTGGGGAAGAACACCAGCTCCTGGCAGAGTTTATGTTAAAAGGGATGGGGGTGACATAGATGCTCGGAACCTTACTCCGGCATTCTTACCTTGTCAAGTCTCCCTTTTATGCCTCCGCTCCCCTCATCCATTATGTCCCACATTCCCTACCTGATAAAAATCCTCAGTGCATAACAGCTGCTTGGCACTGGCCCAGCCTCTTTCACGGTGGAACAGGTCACACAGTGTGTCGGTCACCTGGATCACAGATTCTGGTGGTGCTCGATAGCTCCGTATCTCCTCAAAGTCAGTCACCTTCAGCTGGCTCAGGGGCCCAAGAAATGCCTTGCCCATCTAAATGAGGAGAGATTCGCTCTTCAAGTGAGCTCCTGAAATGCCCTCTTTGTTCAAGGTGTTCCCAAGAGGGATCATCTCCTCTTAGGAGTCCCCATGAAGGGACCATTCCTCAAGCCATCCTATTACCTTTGCCCCCTCCCCCAGGAGATCCCATAACAAATCGCCCCATCCTCTCCTCTGGGCATCCTATCAGAGGCTGCCCTCCCCCAGGAGAGGAGCAGCGCAGGGCAGGGAACAGGAAGAACCCACCTGCTCCAGGAAAGCCTCATGCTGAGCCCGCAGGGCGTCACACTGCTTGGTCAGGTTCTTAATGAGGTTCTCCTGATGTCGACACTCTGCCAGTTGCCGCTTGTACAGGAGCTTGCCTTGCTCTAGCTGCTGATTCAATGTGCTGAGGTTCTGTGAACAGAGATCCAGGCTACAGCTCCAGCTCCTAGACCAGGTGGGAAGACCCCAAGGGAAGACCCCACAGGCTTGGGACTCCAGGATACTCCTCACATAATCGTCAGGGTGATCAAGTTGAACTCCAGATAAGCCACAGATTTAGACTGAGCTCTGGAGCTGTCACTTGCTGCCTGTGAGTTCTACATCTAGTGACGCAGCCCCGAGTTGGTGGCCACTTCTCCTGACCTGCCGCACAGGCCCAGGCAGTCTGAATCCCAAGCCTACATGCTCGACCTTTATGCTGCCCTCTTTCTCTTACTTCACCCATTAGTGGCATTTGTCACAGAGACAGTTCCCTTCCTCTTAGTGGCATTTGTCACAGAGACAGTTTCCTTCCTCTGGAACCATTTTCCTCCCTTGGATTTCATGATGCCATGTTCTCCTCTGGCTTTCTCCAACTTCTGTGGCTGCTCTTTCTCAGTCTTTTCCTCTGTAATCCCTCACATATTCCTCAGCATGTTTTTCTCTTCTCACCCCACATTTCCATGCACTCTCCCTAATCTCATGGTTTTGATCGCCAGTTATATTTTAACAACTCCCAAGTCTCTATCTCTAGACGGATTCTTTTCCAAGCTTCACACCCTTGTATCCATCTGCTTAATAGAAACCTCCTCTTCGTTGTCTCACAGGCCCCTCAGACTCCACAAGTCCAAAAATGAATATATTGGCCTCCTCAGATCTCTTGAAATCTTACTCATCTGTTCATGTCTTCTTTTTTGTAGACTTATGGCAAAATACACCCCAGTTTCCCAAACCTAATTGTTACCCTGACACCATCTCTTCTCCTCCCCTCAAACCCAACACATCTCCTTCCAATGCTACCTCCTAAACACCTCTCATGTCTACTCCCATCCCCAGTAACCATCACTTACGCCTATGCTCTCTTCACTCCTGACCTTCTGTACTGGCCTCCACTCTTAATCCCCTCCTCTAATCCATTTTCCATGCTGTAGCCTGATTGGTTTCCTAAAACCCGAACACATATCATCATCATCATGTCCCTTACCACACTTGGCATTCTTTCATTTGGTTTACAACGCCTCCATGACCAGAAGGCCTCTACTCATCTTCCCAATGTCATCCCCTTTTCCTCTCCCAGTGCTCTACTCTGCAGCCATTCCTAATTTTCAGTTCCTCCAATGTGGCACACAAATCCTCTTGCCTCTGGGCCTTTGCACACACGGTTACTTCAGCCTGTGATAATCTTCCTCCCCAACCCCCATTTATGCAAAATCTTACCTAATCTTCAGGTATCAATGTTGATGTACTTCACTGGTTTACACATTTAAGGAATGTTTTTGAGCGCCTACTGTGGCACCGTGCTTTCTCTAAGTCTTTCTTGATACTTCAGGGTATCATGGACTTTCTCTGTCATTACACACTGTTTTATAGTTGCCTGGATTCATGTATATCTCCTAGTAAACTAGGCAGCACAAAGGCAAGGACAATGCCTTATCTTTCTTATTAGGAGACAATCTAACCTAATATTAATAGTAGCTAACTTTTATTGAATTCTTACTATGTGCCAGCACTTTTAATGCTTTACATGTAAGATCCCATTTAATCATTCTAAACCTCTCTAGATTTCAGTTTTCTCATCTGTAAAATGGGAAAAAAGATGGACACCCCAGAAAGTTGTGGCAAAGATTTTATCTATCTATCTATCTATCTATCTATCTATCTATCTATCTATCTATCTAATCTATCATCTATCTATCTATCTATCTATCTATCATCTATCTATCTATCTATCTATCATCTATTATCTATTTATCTATCTAGATGTAAATATAAGATGTATGTGTAGAAATAGACATAATTATTAATGAGTGCCTGGACAAAAAATGTGGAGTTCAATTAAATTTTGTTGAGTATAGTAATTAATAAATGAACAAACTGAATATGAGAGAGAGAAGAGAGTTATCCAGAATGACTTCTGGGATTTGGCTTAAATGACTAAGTGGATGTTGGTGCCATTTCCTAGGGTGGGGAACATTGAGAGCAGCACACACTATCGTGGCTGTTGAGTGAATGACCAAGGGATCTGACACTGAATGCCCCTGAGACTATGAACATCTCTTATCCATATTTTGGATCTCTTGTGTTGTGCTCTGATATAACTGACCAGGGGATCAAAGAATAATAGCACCCCTAAAACAGATCAACAATTTCTGGTATTAATCATCTTGGGACAAGGTAGGGCCCAAGACAAAAAAGTGGAATATAGACGACATGAGAGAGAGAACTACTCTTCCTCCACAAAATTCTTTTTTTTGGCATCTCTACTAAGTCTCGAGGTTCAATCTAACTAGTAATTCCCAGTGGTGGATGGTAGGAGGCACCAGTCCCATGAGAACTTCAGGGAACACCATTTATATAGAAGCAATGAATACCACATATGTAGATGCAATGTAAGCCATGCCCCTAGAGTTGAGCCACACTGGGTGATAGCCCCGAAGGAACCAATCAGAAGAGGCAGGTTAGGTGCTAGAGCTGTAAGGCCTGAAAGCCCAGTAGAAAATGAGTTAGATTATCCACTTGTGAGGTCATCACTACATCACTTCTCTGTAGTTATCCCTGAACCTGCATCAAAGTCTTACGTAGCAAGAAGGAGAGGGGGGGGAAGCTATTTCAGAATTCCTCTCATTAAAAATAAAACAAAAGAAAAAACACACACCTCTCTTCATTTTAGGAAAACACCTTTCACTGGGAGTATTTGGCTATATAGATGGTGTGATGACCTCACTCCCACCAGTTTTAGCTAGATATGAGAGGTTAGTTTATTCAAAGAAGAATTGCTCTGTATTAGAAAGCAACAGGATTTAGGGTTTGGACTAGAAAAAAAAATCTCTTATGTGAGAATTTTATTTGGGTAGCTAGCTGTAAAAGAAAATTGGGGTGGCTGAATAATATTGTAGAGCAGATATTGAGGAGATGGGGGGAGAAGAGAAAAGAGGGTCACTGGGAAATTCCCTGTAGAGGAGGGTGGCTGAGGACATTGAGGACTCGTATACCATTTAAATCTATTTCTGTTTCTGTCCTAGAATGTCAATTACCCCTAATGCCATCACCCATCCACAGTTCCCCACGCTACACAGCAGCCTTGTATATTTGGTGCTTTGTGGAAAGAAGAGGTAGAGGAACAAAGTGGTATTGCAAAGAGGTTAGCTACGAGAAGTGTGCCAGCTGGCAGTGACAGAGCATTCAGGAGAAGAAGAGGGTCAGAGGGAGAGGTGACCGTGAGAATGTAATCCCTGCTCCATCCCTGATGGAATCTACAGAGATCTTGGGGAGCATTCTGAACTTCACACAGTCAGGGTACTAGGGGCCAGCAGAAGCTCACACTTGGGTTTTATGTATTTAGAAGAATCAGCCAGGCCTCAGCTGTGTCACGGGGAGTTTTGAGTCTAAGTTCTAAAGGAGGAAGCAGCAGGGATTAGAAGGACCCCATGGGGAAAGGGGGGCTCTCCAGAGACAAGAACTAAGGTTCAGTTTGGTGGGTTTCTCCAAAGTCCCCTTGTGGGCTTCTGCTTTGGCCCATAGTCTTCTCCTTACCATGAGGGAGTCTTTCAGCTCCTGTTCCAAGATGGAGAGCTGGTTGGTTTGGCTGTTGTGATGCTCAAGTAGTGCTGTCAGATTCCCCAGGGCGTCGTGGACCCTGGAGATACAATGTGCCAGTGAGTGGACCTGAGAGGGTTTGAAGGAGGTACAGGGCAGGGAATGGGCCACTCACCGCTGGGCCTTGCTCTGCATCTTCAGGATCATCTGTTGCTGCAGCAGCACGAAGGTGTCCAGGAAGTCTAGGAAGGTCTTGGGGGTGACGAGTGGCAATTCAGGGCACAGGTGCCCATGGTAGCTGGCAGCCGAAAGGTGGATGAGAGCCATGGCTTTGGCCACACTGGAAACTGAGGCCTGGAGGTCTGGGTACTTCAAGATTTCTGCAACAGGCACGGCTTTAGCCTGGACTAGTGAGCTTATAGAGGAATGGGAAAGGAAAGGGACCCTCTCCTGGCTCAAGAAGGAGGGCAGAAAAGGTGAGAGGGGCTCACTAGGTTCTAGAGAGAGAGAGAGAGAAAGCTAAATAATCATCCTCCTTAGAGCCTGGTTGAGATGAGTGGCAAGGACAGACAAAAAGTGCTCACCGTCACCAAGGGGTAGATTTTGAACACCCTCCAGGTGGTGCTGGGCCACAGAGACCAGGGAATCTTGGTCCCAGGGTTCATAGCGGTCAATGCTGGCGATGCCCAGTTGGAGGAGTCTCAGGAAAAGGGTGGAGGGCAGTTGTTTGTGGGCCTGGTCATCTCCGATCAGGATGAACATGTGCAGGTGGCTGCACACTTGCTGGTAGAACCTGTGGGCCGAGAGCTCCGATACTGTCCTCCCCTTTTATCCCTATTTGCCCATACAGACCCCAGGTCCCAACCCTGAATCCTCAGCCCTGATCTTCTGAGCCCTCACAGCAACCCCTACTTTTCTTTTTAGCCTTTTGGCCAGAATGGAGCAAGAGTAGAGCAGCCCCTAGAATGGGCTTCTTGGCCTCACCTCTGCAACAGCATTTCCTTCCTGATGGTCTGCTTGACACTAAGGTTCTCCCTGAGGAGATGTTCTTCAATGTTGTCCAGATGTGCCTGTGTGTACTGGTCAGGGAAACTGCCTGAGCTGGCCAAGGCCAGCAGACGATGAAGGGTGGTAAGATCCACACCCGTGGGTACCAGCAAGGCCACTGGCTGGCCTAACATGCCAGCATGCCAGCTGGCATCCCATAGACACTGGAGAATGGCCTCCTCTGACCCACATGGCAGATGGAAGAGGTGAGCCTGACAAATGCTAGCCGCCAAAGTGATGGCAGTACAGCGCCCAGTGCCCAGGGCCCCTGAGAGCAGCAGCCCGTGCTGCCGGGGCCTGGCCAAGACCCGGACCAGGCGGGCCACGTGCTGGGCCATCGAGCGGCACCTGGCAAGGTGTGGACTCAGCTTTAGCTGAGCGGCTGACATAGCCAGCTGCTCCCCCAGGCTCTCCCACTGCCGTTCCAGGTACAAGTTGGGGCTATCAGAGTTGGAACCTACTATCAGCTCCCGACTGAAGACCAGGTCTGAGGGCTTTTCCTGGGGACAGAGTAGTAGCACTGGTAACAACAGGGGTGTGACCGAGTCCATCTGGGATGCCTTCTGCCACCAATTCTTAGATCTCTTTAGCTGAGCTTTATAGCTGGGGGCTGTTGTGCCTTCCTCCTGGTTTATCTTTTGACTTATTTCCTCCCTCTTTACTGGGGCTATGGCTGATGCAAGACCTGAATCACTGGAGGGTGAACCTGTAGTGACCCAAAAGCCAGGAGGGTCCTCCTCCCCCTCTGTCTCACTGCTGCTGTTGCTTAAGCCCTCCCATTTGGCCAACTCCCCTTCAGACTCCACTTCGGGCACCCTCTCCTCCTCCTCCTCCTCCTCCTCATAGCCCTTGCCCAGGTTTTGGGGCACCGGCCCACAGCAGAAGGTACTCTGAGCTACTTCTAGGAGCAGCTTGGCACAGTAGGTGCGTTCCCTAGGGCTGTCTAGCCTGTCACAAAAGGTTCTCTGTGCCTCATGCAGCCAAAGACGCACCATGTTGCGCATGGCCATCATAGTTGTCAGGCGGGTGCCACGCAAGCCTGACACCCGGCGTAAGTGCTCCTGGTGGTTGGGATAGTCCAGGAAACCTCGGGAGCCCGTTCTAGTTGGCAGCAGCTGCAGGCTGCCCAGTAGTTGGCTCACAGAGTGCAAGGAGAAGCGGTAGTGTGGGTGGAGGGGTGAAGGCATAAAACAGCTGCCCACAGCCTCCCAGGCCTCCACGGAGGCGCAGACCAGGGCTCTTGCTAGAAGACCTTCCCGCTCCACAGAGTGGAAGCGCTCAAGCCAGGCCTGGATGATAGGCGTGTGCCTGCTGAGCAGCATGGCCTGGGTCATGTCGGCCAGGGCCAGCACTGTAAAGAGTCGAAAGAGGCGTGGGTCCAGTGGACGCTCACAGAAGCCTGGCACTGTGGCTGTGGCAAGGAAGTTGACTATAGGCTGAAGTTTCTGCAGTTCCAAGGTGCTATGGGCAAACATAGCACCACTCATGGCCTGGCGCAGAGTCTCCAACACTGGCTGACAGCTCTTCTCTGGGTCTGTGGGACATTAAGAATTACATGAGGACATGCCTGAGTCCACATTGCAGTGTCACCCTGCTCCTCTGTCTCTGCCTCACTCGGCTTACTTCCGCACACATAGGGTTCTAAAGGAATTTTGTGCATCTGATGTGTTGGGCTTGGTCCATCTGGGATAACTTGGTCATGTCTAAGTTGTTCTCTTTCCCACACACTCTCCCTAAAAGTGAGTAATTTTTTCTCTCTTCTCACCCAAATTCTACCTTTATGACCAATTACTCATTAACTGAAGGTTAATGAATAGGAAAGTTTGGAAGCTGAGATGGATGTAAGCCTAATCTGACCAAAATAGGGGGGAAATGCAGTCATCACAAAGAGCGTGAAATTATATCATATGCACACTTTCATAAAGTCAACTTGATTAAGACATGGCTTATATAAAATAAAATGTACACATTTTAAAAGTATAGGAAGTATAGTTCAGTGATATTTAGAACATTTTCACCGCCCTAGAAAGTTCCCTCATGCCCCTTGCAGTCAACTCCCCCACTACACTGTCCCAGGAATTTCTTTCTTTTTTTTTTTTTTTAAATATATCTTTATTGATTTCAGAGAGAGGAAAGGAGAGGGAGAGACAGAAACATCAACGATGAGAGAGTCATTGATCGAGCCCGCAACCCGGGCATGTACCCTGACCAGGAATTGAACCCCGATCGCCTGGATCCCAGGTCGACGCTCAACCGCTGAGCCACGCCCGGCTGGGCTGTCCCAGGAATTTCTATCTGATCTAATTTCTATCACTATAGATTAGTTTGCCTACTCTAGAACTTCTATAAGGGGAGTCATACAGTATATAATTTACCATGTCTGACTTCTTTGACTCAGCATGATTCTGAGATTCATTCATGTTTTGTGTGTACCAGTAGTTTGTTCCAGTTTGTTGCTGAGTAGTAGTCTATTGTGAAAATATCACAATTTGTAGATCCATCAACACATTGATGGGCATTTAGGTTTCTGGGTTTTGACTACTCAGGATAATACTGCTATGAACATTCATGTAGAAGTTTGAGAACATACATATTATATTATTTCACTTGGGTAAGTACTTACAAATAGAATTCTTGCGTCTTATGGGAAGTATCTATTTAATTTGATAAGAAACTGCCACACTCTTTTCATAGTGGTTGTATCATGCTACAGTTCCATTAGCAAAGTGTGAGAATTTCAGTTGCTCTACATTTCCCAACATTTACTAGTCTCAGGTTTGAACTACTATCTCATGGTGGTTTTAATTTGCAGTTCACTGATGCCTAATAGCATAAGAATCTTTTCATGTGTTATTGGTGACATATCTTTCTTTTGTCAAGTGTCTGTTCTTTTGTACAATTTTATAAAAATGGAGTTTGTTTTCTTATTGAGTTGTAAGAGTTATTTTACATATTCTGAATATAAACTCTTTGTCAGATATATGTATTATGAATATTTTCCACCTATGGCATATTTAAAATTTTTCTTAACAGTGTCTTTTGAAGGCATAAGGTTTTAATTTTGGTCAAATTGATTTTTTGTGTCTTGTCTAAGAAATCTAACTAAGGTCACACAGATTTTTCTCCAACATTTAAAAAATATAATCTTTTAGCTTTTACATTTAGGTCTGTAATCTGTTTATAATTGATTTTTGTGTGTGTCATGAGTTAGGATTCAAGGTTCATTTATCCCCAACCCCCATAGATATGCGGTTGTTCCAGCCCCATTCATTGAAAAGACTATCCTTTCCCCCATTGAATTATCTTGGCATGTTTGTGGAAAACCAGTTGACCAAATATGACCATACATCAGATTCTTTGTTCTATTCCATTAGTCCATAGCCATGTCCTTATACCAATACCACGTCCTCTTGATCACTGTAGCTATATAGTAAGCCTTGAAATCACTAGTTTAAGATCTTTGACTTTGTTTTTCTTTTTTGAAGTTTGGCTTTCCTTGGTCTTTTTCATTTTCACAAAAGTGTTGGAATGAGCCTTTCAATTTCTGCCAAAAGCCTGCTCAAATTTAGATTGACATTACACTGAATCTATAGATCAATTTGGGGAGAATGAGCATCTTAATAGTATTGACTCTTCTGGTTCATGAATATAGTGTATCTTTTTAAGTCTCCTTTAGCTCAGCAATATTTAGTAATTATCAGTATATCTTTCATGAAGTTTATTCCTAAATATTTTAACCTTTTAGATGATATTTTAAACAATATTTTAAAATTTTGATTTCCAATTATTTGTTACTAGGTTATAGAAATACTAATGTTTTCAATAGACTGCCTTTATATTCTGTGACCCTGCTAAATTCACTTATTTATTCTAGTAGTTTTTTTAAAAATGTTTTTGATTTTTTTTTTTTAGAGAGAGAGGAAGGGGGGAGAGAGAGAGAGAGAGAAACATTGATCCACTGCCTCCTGCACACTCTTTACTGGGGATTGAGCCTGCAACCTGGGCATGTGCTCTGACAGGGAATCGAACCAGTGGCCTTTTGGTGCATGGAACAACGCTCAACCAACTGAGCCACACCTTCCAGGGCTATTCTAGTAGTTTTGTAGGTTTTGTTTGTTGTTTGTTTTTTTGTAGATGCCTTAGGATTCCCTATGTAGAAAATCATGTCATATACCAGTAGAGGCAGTGTTACTTTGTCCTTTCTACTTTAAAAAGCTTTATTTCTTTTTCTTATCTTACTGCACTAATGTGGGTCTCTGGTGCAATACTGAATAGAAGCAGTGGACATTCTTGCCTTGTGACCAAACTTAGGAAAAAAATGTTCAGTATTCACCATTAAGTACAGGCATACCTTGTTTTATTGCTCTTCACTTTATTGCACTTCGCAGATATTGTGTTTTTACAAATTGAATGTAAGACCCTCCACCACAAAAAGATTATGACTCTTTGAAGGCTCAGGTGATAGTTAGCACTTTTTAGCAATAAAGTATTTTAAAATTAAGGTATGTACATTATTTTTTAGTTATGTTATCGCACACTTTAATAGACTACAGAACAGTGTAAGCATAACTTCCATGTTCATTTATTTTGTTTCTTTAGATTTCACATATAAGTGAGATGATCTGGTATTTGTCTTTCTCTGATTTATTTCATTTAGCGTAATATCTTCTAGGTCTATCCATGCTGCCACAAATGGCAAGATTTCATTTTCCAGTGTGTGTATATGCACCGCACCTTCTTCATCTCATTCATCTACTGATGGACACCTAGGTTGCTTCCATATCTTGGCTGTTATTAGTAATACTGCAATGAACATAGGGGTGCATATACATTTTTGAATTATGTTTTTCTTTTCTTTGGATAAATGCCCACTAGTGGAATTGCTGGATCATATGGCAGCTCTATTTTTAATTTTTTGAGGAGTCTCCATACTGTTTTCCATAGTGGCTGCACTAATTTACAATCTCACCAACCATGTAGAAGGGTTCCTTTCCCCACATCCTCACCAGCACTTATTTGTTGATTTACTGATGGTAGCCATCCTGACAGGCATGAGGTGATACCTCATTGTGGTTGTAACTTGCATTTCCCTGGTGATTAGTGATGGTGAGCATCTTTTTATATGTCTGTTGGCCATCTGTATGTCCTCTCGGGAGATATGTCTTTTCAGGTCTTTTGCCTGTTTTTTTAATTGGATTGTTTGTCGTGTTGGTGTTAAGTTGTATGCATTCTTTATATATTTAGGATACTAACCCTTATCAGATCTATCATTTGCAAATATCTTCTCCCATTCAGTAAGTTGTCTTTTTGTTTCATTGTTTTGATTCACTGTGCAAAAACCTTTAATTTCATGTAGTTCCATTTGTTTACTTTTTCTTTAGTTTCCCTTGCTTGATATTACTAAGAGCTACGTCAAAGAGTTTACTTGCTATGTTTTCTAGGAGTTTTATGGTTTCAGGTCTAACATTTTAAAATCCCTTTCGAGTTTATTTTTGTATATGGTGTAAGAAAGCGGTCCATTTTCATTTTTTGGCATGTATCTGTCCGCTTTGGCCAACACCACTTATCGAAGAGATTGTCTCCACCCCATTGTATATATCCTTGCCTTCTTTGTCATAAATTAATTGACAATACAAGCAAAGGTTTATTTCTGAGATCTGTGTTCTATTCCAATGATCTATATATCAGTTTTTAGGCCTGGAAGTTCAGGCTTCCTGGAGGTATTGCCTGCCACTATTTGTCAAGATTAGGTAGAACTTGCCCTGACCAGTGTTTCTCAGTGGTTAAAGCATCGACCCATACACTGGAGAGTCGTGGGTTCGATTACAAGTCAAGGGCAAATCCCTGGGTTGCCGGTTCAATCCCCCAGTTGGGGCCCGTGCAGGAAGCAACCAATCAATGTGTCTCTCTCTCATCGATGTTTCTCTCTCCGAGAAAGCCTCATCATAAGGAACCTTGCAAGGGCATTTGCCAAAGTTCCAGGTAATGACAATCTGAACCAGGGAAGATGGAATAGAAAGAAGTGGAAATAGTTTAGAGATATTTAGGAAGCAAAATTGAGAGACACATTGATGAGAGAGATATCAACAAGAGTTCTGACTTAAATGACTGGATGAATGGTGGTGCCAGTTACTCAGACGACACACAGGGGCAGGTTTGGGGGAAAAGGTGAAGAAGTCAGGGTTAGAGCTGAGGTGCAATGAGACAGCAAGGTAGTGATATGCACTAGGTAGTTGGATAAACAGATCTGGTGCTTAGAAGAGAAGCCTGGATTGGAGATAAAGATTTAGTATCCAAGCAAAGGGATGGTGGAAGGGTCCCTGAGAAGAGTAAGATTGGTCAGGGAACATATGTAGAATGAGGAAATACTAAGCATGGAGCACTGAGGTTTGGCCTGTGGGCGTGTATTTATTTGAGACTCTGTGAATATTGCTAGGAATTTTATAGTCTCAAAAGGGGACAGCGCCGCCTGCCTCCCCTCCTCCCAGCTCCTCACCGGAGGCCGCCAGGTGCAGGTCCTCCAGCAGGAAGAGGAGGGAGCCTTTAGAACTCAGGGCCTGCCCAGGCCACGGGTTGGCTCGCGCTTGGCCCTGGACCCCTCGGCTCAGCAGAAGGCGAAAATGGGTGGTACTGAAGGCAGGGTGGATGGGGGTGTACACGTAAGGGTGATGTGGTTCCACCAGCACCGCCACAAAGGCTGACTTCCCTGTTGCTGCCTCTCCAGCCAGCAGCACTGGGTGTCCTGCTGACAGAAGCAGGTCCACCACATACAGGAGCCGTTCAGCCTGCAGGACAGGAGCAAGACTTACTGTGGCAGCTCCAGGACAGTAGTCTAGGTGAAAGCAAAGGTCTAGGGATCTTGTCTTAACACTCTATTTGCAGAATACTTCATGTGTTCTTGTGAGTGTGAAAACATATCAAAGAATGGGAGCAGGCAGGCCTGAGCTGGGCCTAGAACGGGGACTCTCCCAGGACATCCCCTTGAGCCCCTGCCCCCCCCTCCCCGCACACTGTCCTCACACCTGGGGAGAAGGGCTGAAGGTGCCCAGAGATCCCTTGATGCGGCCGCCCATGTATTGGCCAGTGAAGGGGACCAGTGTCCCATCTTCAGGGCATACATGTAGATCAAACACCGAGGCTGAGACTGGTGGCTCAGGATAGTTGGAGAGGCAACTAATAGAATGCCTCAGGAAGGTATCAAAGAGGGGCCAGAGCCTTCAGATGGACATACAGGCAAAAGTGTGAGACAGTTACAACAGTTCCGTTTGTGACACCCCACCCACCCGACAGTGATGTCCGCTGGGTTTGACTCCCACAGGCCAGTCCATCTCAGCCCTCTGTATCCCATTCCCCACCCCAGTAGATACCTGGAGGGAAGGTGGGCTCCAAAGCCCCAGATCAAGGCAAAAAGAAAGCTGCTCACAACCAGCAAGTGCTCCCTGTGCTTATTAGGCAGATCATTGCTGTCAACCAGGGACCCGGTCAGAGAGCTGGTTTTCGAGGACTTGAAGCTTGAGGCTACAGGATCACTATGGCTGAGGTCTTTTGTGAAGGTCACCATGGCCAGAATAGGAGCCCCAGTAAGAAGAAGGGGAACAGGGGAGGAGAGTTGGCTCTGTTACTTCTTACTTTCAGTCCCCAGGCCCAAGTCCACCAAAGAACCCGTGCCCCAGGCTCTAGCCATATGCCAACTATCTTCAAGGCCCCATAGATCTCAAGCCAGCCCTCTCTTTCCCTTCCCTTCACCTGGCATATGTGTCTCCTCATCTATGCGTAGGTGGAGGTCAAGCAGGCAATGCAAGAGGCGAGCCAGGCTGGTGATTTCGGCCACACCTGGGCAAACAGCCACCTGCCCGTGTGCCTGCAGCAGGGAGCAGGCACCCTCGCGGGTGAGGAATCGGAGCGTTGCAGGCACCAGCACCTTGGCCAGGCGGTTGAGCTCGGTGACCGTCTGGGGCTGCAGGCAGTACTCACGGGGCAGGGCTGCCATCAGGACGCTAAGCATCCCCTGCCAAGTCTGCTCCCCACCGCACCAGACGAGGGCACAATGGCCCACCACTTTGGGGGACATCCCTGTTGCATCTCCCACCTCCATCAAGAAAAAAGTATCTGGGGATCGTTCTATCTGCTCACCACTAGGGAGGATAAGCTGGGGGGGGTTACCCAGGAGGCAAGTGACAGCGTCCAGCCAAGCAGCACTGGGGGCCCCATCACATATTATCCAGTGCTGGATCCTCACCGATTCCTGTGCCTTGCTCTTTGGGTCCACAGTCTTACACTGACTGGATGAATGAAGCAGCCTGGGGAGGATGCCTTGGTGCCAGCAGGGGCCCTCTTGCCACCCCAGTAACTCCTGGGTGCTGAAGACACTGGGATACAGGTGCGTAATCTCCACAAGTGGACAGCCCCATGTTGAGGTGCCCTCTATGCCCGCCAGCTGATTCTGGATTGTAAACAAGCTGTGCCAGCAAGTGGTCTTGCCACTGCCTGCAGGGCCCAGGAGCAAAATGCCAGAGGCCCGGTCCAGGGCCTGGCTCAGCTGCTCCAGGGAACCCAAAATATTGGGGGTGGGATGCAGACCTGCCTGCTGCAATTCCTCCACCAGCAGTGGCTTCCTCAGCTTGTGGGTCACAGGCTCTGCCAGCACTTGTCTGGCACTGGGGAAGATTCCACAGAGCAGCTCTTGGAGGTTGTGAAGGCGGACCCCATCGAGGATGCTGAACAGTGGTGAGCGTATCAGGGCACGCAGTAGGGCCATCTCCTCAATGGCCGCAAGGCTGTGGGGTGGCTGGGTGCTAGGTTCCTCCTTGGTCACATTTAGAGCCTGTATCATGGCTGTGAGGACCTGCTTGAGCAGCGGCAAGTGGTAGGGCAGGGGCCCAGGCACCAGCTCGTGCTCCAGGAAGAAGAATTTGGATAGGTGGGTAGCCATGCGGGAGGGATCCCGCATCCCTGCACCCAGCAGAGTGAGCTCTGCCACTTGCTGTAGGTTTGGCAGTGTCAGTGCCACAGGCCGCAGCAGCAGGCGCAGGTTGGCAGGCACGGCAGGGCTCAGGGCACGTAACGTCAGGAAACAGCCATAGCCAAGGCGCATGTCCACATGATGTTTCTCAAAGAAACCACTGCCAAGGAGGTGGGGGTGGGTTGGGTCGATGGTACTGGTGCTTCGGGAAGCCTGCTGGTACAGTGGGGCATAGAGGTTGTGCAGTTCAGCCAGGCGTTGGCCCAGGGCAGAGAGCAAGCCAAGGGGCAGGTGCTGAGCTGCCTCCAGCAGCAGCCAGGCTCCGCCCTGCAGGGCACCATTCAGGTAGTTGCTCAGACTTTGGGCCGTTGTCTGAGGCAAGCAGGGTATTATCACCAGTTGGCGTCCCAGGGCCTGTGCCAGGCTCTTCACCATGGCTGCCTTGCCTATGCCATCAGGGCCCAGTAGGGTCCCACAGGCCACTTCCTCCAGAGCCAATAGCAGCACCAGGGCTGGCCGCTCAGGCAGCAAGCTGGGCAGAGACCCCAGTCTGGGACCCAAGTACTCATAATTGTACAGGAAGGACCGGCCCAGCACCTCTATCCAGCACCCAGCTGGTGATAGAGAAGTGTCCATAGATGCAGTGGTCTTGAGACTCTGCAGGGGACTTCGGGGGATGATGTGAGGTGAGCCCAGGTGGTACTTGAGTTGGCGGGCCCAGTGGAAGTCTGTCAGATCACTGACCTGGTGCTCCCTCAGCAGCTGTACTATATCCCGGTGGGTCACCGCCATGGCCAGTAGGGCACTGAGCAGGCTGGCCTGGCGGACAGAGGGCAGGGACTGCCCACCCTGGGAGGCCCTCTGGGTCCGTACAAAACGCACCAGTACCTCCAGCTTGCACACATGTGTGCGGACCATGGCCAGGGTCCTCTCCTCCAGCAGAGCCTCCTCCATCTCGGCCCACCATACCACCTCCTCTGCCACCAGCACACACTGCCAGGGGAAGGCCTCGACTAAATCCAGCCAGTGGTGGACATTCAGTTGCAGGGGCACCTGGCCTTTCTGGGGCAGCTCCTTGAAGGCCTTGTCTAGGAATGGGGCCAGAACCACACCGCCTCGCAGACGGGCAGCCACACAGCCCTGCAGCATGTGCACCAGTGCCAAACGCAGACCCTTCTCCAGAGAGGCCAGCCACTTGGGGAGATCTGGATGCAGAGGAAGGGGCTGCTGCAGCTCCACTTCCTCCCCACCTGCCCCTAGCACTGCGAGGCACTCCACCTGAGGCTGCACGTCTTGCCTTGATTCTGGGGCATCCATGTGTTCATCAGTAGAACTGGACTTGAAGCTCACAGCGAGCACATGAGGAAAGCAGCGCCTTACCCATATCTGGGCCTCGCATGGCTCCATTCTGGCAACGAGTAGGCTCACCAGCTCAATGTCACTGAGGAAGAAAAGGCGGGGAAAGTGAACACAGAACCCATAGAGCACGCTCTGCAGAGCCATAATGATGCCCTCCAGCTCCACTGAGCCTGCTTGAAGCAGCTGTTGCAGCTGTTGGCCTTGGTAGTAAGGGTTCCGCTTGGCACTGGGCACTACAAGTGACAGGACCAGGGGGTCAGCTACAGAGGTCTGCATCAGGGTCCGGTACTGATCATCCATGGCCTTGAAACGGGAGTTCTGTGGTGAGGGAGAGGGTAAAAGTGAGGGTGGATGTAAAGAGGCAGCTCCCCAGGCACTGTGCCCCACTGCTCAGTAGTCTTGGTCCACCCTGTCTCATTCCCCCTTCCCTACCAGATCAGAACTGGGAAACTGGATCATCATCTCATGCAGAACTTTATTCAGAAACATCCACTTCTGCTGGAAAGTGACCCACACCTGCAGTATGTGACCTGTGTGAGCAGCCAGAGGAACGCTGGAGGGATACTAGGGTTCTAGCTTCTGCAAGGGGGTCCAGCCTGCTCCTGACCTCTCAGGCTGCCCCCACCCCAAAATATTCTGCTCAGCAGGATCCAGGACCCAGGACCCAGGGACCTTTCTTGTAGGAGAGAAAATTTTCACTGTGAATAAAGACCTGGCCACCTCAGCCCAAAAAGTAGCCCTGAAGGAGGTCTTCAGTCTATCTCTCAGATCTTCCCCACCCAATCCCCACCTCTCACCCCATCCGTCTGGGCCATCCCACTTCAGGTCCCACCCATCAGCCCAGCTAGAGGCCTGCACTCACTCAGGTCACGCAGGATGGTCACCCACTCCAAAGCTATTTTGTGTAAGTCTCCCAACTTTTGGGTGACCAGGATCTTGAACAACACCTGAAGACTTTTCTGGATGGAATCCTGCAGGCTGCTGTAATCTAAGGAAGGGCAGGATCCAGCTGAGTGGAGCTGGCAGTCAGATGAGGCAAGGGCAGGGTGGCTAATACCCCAAATACACTGACACAGATCCCCAGCTATTCTTTAGAGGACCTAAACATTTTGTTTTCTTCCACTAGTTGAACTATGTGCTCACCAAGAGCCATAGTATGTTGGAAAACCTGCTTATGTGAGTTATAATTTCAATTCCAGAATTTAATCTAATATTATGTTAACCACTGAAATATGGGTGGGAAAAGAGCTATTGATTCTATGGAAACCATGGAAGGCTTCAGTAAAGGTGAGTTGATAAAAATATATTAAATTAGGTATAGGCCAGCCAATTTTCAAAAATTGGGAAATTATAATAAAAATCTAGAAAAGTTCTGTACTCAGGTAACTTTACAAATGTCTTCATGTCACTGCTCAACTTTACAGAAACTGAAATTAATGCAAGAAAGGAAGTGAGAAACTTCTATCTGTTGACTGCAAATCAAAGAAAAGCTCTTGTCCCAGGTTAAAAGATTATAAATAAATGTACATTTACATGGTTTAAGCTAAAAACATCCTAAGCCATGTATGCATCATATTTTATGATTTCCCCATGTAACTAACGTTTTGAATTTGCCAGTTGGGTTTCAATTGTGTTGAAAAGAGAATTTCTCCTTTACGGGCAATTCCTTAACTATGCCATCTTGAGTGCCTATACCTATGCTGTTCCCTCTCCCTGGCCTGCCCTTTCCCTCTTGCAAGTTTAGAAAACTCCTCCTTCAAAAGCCAGCAAAAGACCTCTCCCTAAGGGAAGGGAAGGGAAGGTTTCTCTGACTCTCCCTGGTCCTTTGAAGCTGTCTCCTTTCTGAGAGTCTGCTGCCCTCAGGTGCTCCACCATGCACTTATCTCTATTCTATTGTCTATCAATGGACTGGAGCGCCTAAGGGATGGGACTTTTGTCCGTAAATCTCAGGGTCTCCTGCGTTTGGCTCAGAGTAGGCAGGTGGGTTTGATGAGGGAATGAAAAAGGAATGAAAGAGTGGGGCAAAAGATCAGACCACAGGGTGCATTCTAGAGGACAGAGCAGCCAAAGGTGGAGAGATGCAGCAATGAGGAATTTCTGAATACACTCAGAAAGCAGAGGACTTTTGCCAAAGAGGCCAGGCATTGGGTGGGAGCGAGGGGGCAGGGACTCCCAAGATTAAGACTGTATGGGAGCTACATGAAAGACATTGTCTCAGAACAGAATGGGGTTTTAGGTTGTCCAGCAAGGATGGGGACCTGGCTAGAGGAGCCAGATCTAGCAGGGCTGGGTGGAGGTGGTAGATGAATATGGTCCCCAGCCGGGGACTTTCTCTGGGCTACAAGGGCTTGGTCTCACCTGAAAGGATGAAGGTGCCACTATCCTTGGCCACTATGTCCCTGTGAGTGCGGTGCATATGCCTCTTGGAGCGCTGCAAGGTCTGGGGCTCGTAGGGCACGTGCAGGATGAAGTTGAGCAGGCGCAGCTTGCGGCCTTCCCAGGCCTGCTGCAGCTGCTGCAGGGTCTCTTGGGCATGAATGTGTTCATTTTCATTCCGCCAGATCTGGAAGAGCTGGGTCTCAGGAACTGGGGCTCGGTAATGGCTCAGGGGATAGCACTGAAGCTGGCACTTAAGAGCCAGGGCTCAGGGGAGTGGAGGTCTCAGAGAGAAAGAGTGGGACCAGCAGTCTTCAAAGTTGGGCCATCAGCAGCACACTTTGACCTAGGGCTGCTGCCCTGACACCCACTATTTTGCAAGGCTCCAGCTGAGCAGATAGTATGTCCATCACATCTGCCATCCTGTGTGCCCACAACTTCGGAGCTGCCACCCACTTCCTTCCCCTGGTGGGGGTTGCATACTCTCAGTCTCAGATCCCCGTAAGCTCCAGGCAGGACAGCAATCTCAACCCCCCACTCCACAAGCCAATATCTACTCCCCCCTTGTCTCAAGGGGCTGCTGGGCCTTAACTGGCTCTATTAGAACTTAGCGAACAGAACCCTGGACCACTTCCCTCCCTCCAGTGGGCCGTACCTGATTGATTTGATCTGCAAACTCCAGCAGTGGACAAGTGAGCAGCTGGCCCAGTGTTAGGAGTTCTACATTGAGACTGCCCAGCCCTAGGGCTAGAGGTAGAAGGGACAACAAGTCAGAGCAACACTGGTATTATGGCAGATCTGGGACCCAGAGCCATGCAGCAGATCTCAGAGTAGAGCATAGAGTCAAGAACCCCGAACCAAAGGCCCTGAGCACAGCACAGAGCCCAGAGCTCAGACTCCAGCTCGAGCCAGCCCAGTTGAGCAGGGAGGACCCACATGGTACTTTGAGGGAGGCAGGAAGCAACCCAGGGAGGGAAGGTGTTTCCAACAGGGGTGGCAGGGAACTGAGCTGTTGCATTGTTCTAACCCGTATGTCCTCCCCTCCACACTCTACTTAAACACACCTCGGAGGAGGGCTTGTAAGCTGAGGCTATGCAGCTGGAAGCTGCTCAGCTTGGTAAGCAAGGGCAGGTAGCTGCGAAACTCCTCCAGAAGGCGTATGGTGCACTGCAGAACCGGGCTGTGCAGCCCTAGGGTGGCATTCATCTGGGTCGCCTCTGTGAGCCAGCCCTCTATCTTCTCCTGGGCCATAGGCAGGTTGAACTGCAGGGTGAAGGGGTCATTGTCAGCTGGAGACCCTTCCCACCCCTCTCCCCTGCAGACTTTCCATCCCCAGGCAGGAGCTCCAAGGAAGGGTGTCAGCACCTTGGCAAAAGCCATGCACTTCCATTCACTAATGTTTTCAGAGATGACTCGATATAGGCGCCAGATGCTCTGCTGCTGCTTGATAGGATGGATCCCACAGATTGGCAAGGACACAGGACTTTCATCCCCTGTGGGACAAGGCTGGCTGAGGCCTGGGCCATATGTGGGGGCGGGGGCCAGGGTGGGGAATGGTCAGTCAAGAGCCCATGATAACAAAAGGGAGGGTCCCAAAATTGCCAAGGTGGGGGGTCTAAAATTGTTCAGAAGGACAATGGAGGAGGGGACAATTCAAGGGACAGTTATTCCAAGGACAGAATATCTGAGACAACGCAATGGCAGTAGTCTCCATCTCACTCACTCCACTCAGGCCACAGCAGGCTCTTCACTGTGGCTCAGGTATACCAGGAGCGCTCCCCTGCTGAGGATCTTTCACTGGCAGTTCATTCTGGAGCAGTCTTCCCTCAGGGAACCATATGCTCCCTCCCTCGCCAAATTCAAGTTCCAACTCAAACCTTACCTTCTTTTTTTTTTTTTTAA